ATAGATAGATAGATAGATAGATAGATAGATAGATAGATAGATAGATACTATTTGATAAAGTCCCCAGCCTTCTGATTTTCTGAATGCTGCAAGAAGCCATTTGATAAAATGTTGTAATCTCTCAAAAATCAATCAGATAATCATGTTAATACATCATAGGATGGATTATATGTTCTTTAGAACCACATAAGTGAGTATTGATATCTTGAAATAAATTCAAAACTAGAATGTAATTCTGTATTATAGATACTACTTGAGCCTCTGATAAAGGCAAGGAATCTTGGATTTCAGTCTGTACATTTTGTTCTTCAGTTGTTCAATGACTTTTCATTTAATGCTGATGGTTTATTTCTAATCATAATGGATGAACTTCCTTATTATGTAGAAAAGTGGGAAGGAAGAAATATTGAAAAGTCATTTTTGCAGAGATTGGATTCGCTCCCATTTTGACAGTCTTTCATAAGGCTCTGTAGACATAGTTCTTGTTCAGAGTATTGCAGCATAAGTTCAGCGCCAGAAAGGTAAACACAGGTGGCTGAGACTTCATTTAACTTCTTTATAAACACATAAAGTAAATTTTACAATACCAGTTGTAGATTTCTCCAGCATGGAGCAAACTCAAACAGAATCAGACATGTTACAGGTTCAGAGCAGAACAACAACTCAGGAGTTCAGAAACAGACCTCATTTTCACTTTAATTCAGCAGGTAAGCATTATACACAGCAGAGGAGAGAAGCAGTTTCATTTTCAATAGTCAGACTCAGAGCTTAACATAGCTTCAGAGTTGCAGAGTTTAATATAGGCTACTTCTAGACTACTTCTAGTTTCAGTTTCTGAAGAGTCGTCATTGGCTGACTTAGTTGCTATGCCTATTCATTGACTGACCTTGTCACCATGCTCTATTCCAGTTCATGAATATACTCTGACAGTTCTTCTAACAGGCTTGGGGTCCCCAAGTGATATGGAATCCATCAAGGGACTCATTTGATTGTTGTCACTAACACTCAAGTAAGAGTAGGGGGTTATTGGATCTGGATTGGGTTTTATCCTTATAAGCCATCAGGGGTCACCAAGAGTGAGTTGGGAAACCACGTAAATATTCTCCAATGAAGTTAATCATTTCTTAAATATACCATTAAATGAAAGTATTTTCACCAGTTGATATATCTCAAAATTATGGTTTTGATCTGCAACCTTTTTCTTTCTTTCTTTCTTTCTTTCTTTCTTTCTTTCTTTCTTTCTTTCTTTCTTTCTTTCTTTCTTTCTTTCTTTCTTTCTTTCTTTCTTTCTTTCTTT